CTACCGTTGAGGCGTCTGTGACTACCTCGTAGGGTTTTGTTGGATCTGGTAATACCAGAACGGGAGCATTTGTCAACTTTTGTTTGACCGCTTCAAATGCTTCTTGGCATTGTCTGGTCCATTCCCACAACGTACCCTTTCGAGTAAGTGCGGTTAATGGGGCAACGATGGTTGAATAATTCTCCAAGAAACGGCGAAAATAATTGGCTAAGCCCATGACTTGACCCACGTCCTGTGGAACGGGCCAGTTCTCAACAGCCGCCACTTTCTTGGGATCGACTTTCAACCCACTGTTTCCCACAAGATGTCCCAGGTATTCTAATTCGCGCTTATAGAAGTGACACTTCCACAAGCGAGCATAGAATTTGTGCTCTCGTAGTTTGTTTAACACCCATTTTAGGTGTTCTGTGTGCTCCTGTTCGGTCTTGGAATATACCAATATATCGTCGAGGTAAACCAAGACGAACTGACCGATTGCCTCACGAAAGACATCATTCATCGCCTTCTGAAAAGAGGCCGGTGCATTGGTCAGACCGAAACTCAGCGCACGCCATTGAAAATGCCCAAACGCCGTGCGAAACGCTGTTTTGGGTACATCGTCGTTGGTGATGCGCAACTGATGGTACCCCTGTGCGAGGTCCAATGCGCTAAACCATTGGGCACCCTGGAGACGATCAAACAGATCCTCAATGCGAGGTAGTCGATATCTGTTCTTAATTGTTATCTTGTTTAAGGCGCGATAGTCAATGCACATGCGTAGCTCTCCGCCCTTTTTGTTAACAAACAAGATTGGTGCTCCGTATGGTGATGCACTGGGTTCAATCCATCCCTTTTTCAGATAATCTTCGATTTGTTGCTTAGCCTCTTCGTACTCAGCTGGACTGAGGCGATACAGAGGTCGGGACGATGGTGCCTTTCCAGGCTCCACAGGAATGGTATGACCCACAGCGCGGTCTGGAGGGAGTCCATCAGGAATCGGTTCAAAAACCTCCTTGAAGTCCTCTGCCAGAGCCTTCATCTGAGGAGGAAAATCCTCGATCTTAGGAGACGATTATGTGGTTTCCTCTAGTTGTACAACAAAACGTGTATCAGCTGATTTTGCATCTTGCCCAAATTGATTTGCAAGGGCAAACTGGACGTCGGGGCGATTGGAGTGTGGGACATCAGTGATGTTTACGTCCCCTTGAACATTCCACCGAACCACAACACCATTTTTAGTGAAAGTTACTGTGTTGTGTTGAAAGTCAAGGATGACCTCATTGGCTCGAAGCCAATCCATCCCGAGGACTAGGTCTACGCCTGCCAGTAATGGGAGGACATAAACACTGATGTCCTCGTTATAGCCTTGAATTTCCATATTGATACGTGTCTGCCCTTTGCTTGGGATGATTCGATCGTCGCCAAGACGAATGGGACAAGACGGTCCTTCAACGAGGACCCCACGACTTGTGGCTCTGTTTTCATCGAAAAGAGAAACAGTCGCGCCCGTATCAACAAGAATCTTTGCTTCGTCCCCGTCTATGCGACCCACCAGCAACAAAAACTGTTGATGCTTTGGTCGAATGGGGCATGCAACAATGCGAGTTGGTGGGAGGTAGTATGCCTTGACATTGTGTTTTGCTCGACCATAGGATCGGCTGTCAGGCCACCACATGTGATATCCCTTATACCACGCTGCAAGTACCGTCCATCCCTTAAGCTTGGGAAAGTGTTTGCCTTTGATTGTTCGAGTCACCAGACTGACCGAAGTCAATGGGTGCTTCTGGGTGCAACGACCCACCAATTCCATTACGGAAGGCAACGCCTCAATGTTGCAGCAAATGACAGAGAATTTATCTCTGAGTGTTTCGATAGACAGTTGTGTGAGTGGGTACAATCGAGGTAGGAAAACAGAATTTTCACTCAAAGAAGAAGCAAAAAAACAAGAGATTTTGCACTCAGCAAGTTTCTCTAGCTTTAATAGATCATCGTCACGAAGGACGTAAGCTTCCTCACCTCGATCTACCTGTCCAGCTAGGTACCCACACCCTAGTTGGACTTGTGAAAATCCTAGCGCGAGCCTGAAGGTCCTGCATCTCCCTTCTTGTTCGCCTGCTGCGGCTTGCCAGAATCCTCATCCCTTTTCAGCGTACGGCACTGCCCCTTCGTATGACCCATCTTCTTGCAGTAGGTGCAAAAGGGAGTTCCGTTCCTCTGCTGGCCACCCTTGTGAAAGGGCTTCTTAGGTTGTGACCCATTCTGCTGGCTCTGCGGCTGGAAAGGCCTCTTCTTCCAAGGGCCCTTTCCATTAGGAGGCTGCGCCGCATTGTTCTGGCCACTAGGGCCTTCACCCCCGCTCTGCAAGGGACCCTTGGCGGCATTAAGGCAGGTGCGGACGCTCACGTCAAGATCAATGACAGCTGTCTTGAGCTCCTTGTACGTAGTGTACTGGTTCCTGCCCAGCACGAGCCTCTCGCGAAGCCACTGGGGTAAGCCTTCATAGAACGACGACATTGCCTCGTTCTCAGTGAGAGCGATTGTCAGGAGTAACAGAGTCCGTTCGAACTCGTTGGCATACTCCTGCACAGTGCGAGTTCCACACTGCATGCTCTTGATGCGGCTGCGCACTTCCAGGTCAGTCTTTTGCACATGGAAAGCGTCTTTCATCGCGCTGCAAAAATCGGACCATCCGAAGGTGGCCGACGTTGCCCCGGCAAGCTTCATAGTGCTGTAGACTGTTTTACGAGCAGTCTCACCGAGAGCACCTGTAGCAACTATAACGCGTGCGTCCGGGCGCACGTTGTGGATGGAAAGGAATTCCTCCACATGATGAAGCCAGGATTCCACGTTTGTCTTGCCATGAATGAAGTTCGGCAAGGCAGTGGGGAGCGACCCAAATGCGGGTGCGTCAGGCGACATCGGCTGCTCTGTTGGAGCTCCGGCAGAAGTAGAAGGCTGCCCATTGCTAGGAGGGGGGCGATAAATACCGCCCCTCCTAAGCTCCCTATACTGCGCTTGCAGCGTCGTGCATGTTCATTCAAGGTTAATGCACGTAGCGTTGAGCTGCTGCAGAGTATCTTCAAGGCTCTTCATCTGGTTGACCTTGAGGCCAAGAGACCTCTTAAATTGACGAGCCTCGGCAGTGACTTTGTTAAGCTGAGCTTTGATCGTGTCAATTGAGGCATTCTGCTCAGTAATCTGAGTCTCAAGCTCATTGATCCGACGTTTCTGCTGCAGCAAGGAAGATGCTTGCTCGGCCACCGTGGATTGAAGTTTTTCAAACTCCTCCGGAAAGTTGTCATCCGTGCCGAGGTCATCAAGCCCTTCCTGTTCTCCATTCTCTTCCTGGTTTCCCAGGGCTTCTTCCTCTTCCTCAGGAAGGTCCCCTATGACGTCCTCAGCATTAAGGTCAAGGTCTGGAAAGTCTTCCAGTTCATCAACTGAGGTCATAGGGACATCCTCCTTTGATGCTTCCTCATGAGGAGTAGCCATAGAGGAGTTGTTAAGATGGAGCTTAAGGAAAGTGTTTCTTCTTTGTTAAGAGAAAAGATCTTAATAAGAGTCCTCTATCACTCAAGGTGATAGGCAAGAGATTCTGAAAAAATTCAGAAATCTTTTATATAGATCAATATTCTCACAAAGAGTAAGGTACAGAAAAATAGTTGTTAAATAAGTCTTCTATTCCAATATGGAAATAGAGAAAGTTCCCCAAACTGCTCAGAGAGCAAGTTAAGAGGAATCTTTTAACAAATCTCTTAGATCTGTATCACTCTGCTATTTAATAAATAGCTATGAGTCTTCCACCAAGAAGGTGGGCAGAGAATAAATTCTCTTAAAGCTCAAAGAGCTTTTAGATCTTGGGATCCTTGAAGAAGATTTCTTGATCTTTGGAGTCTCTCAACTCTTCTCAAAAGAGCTTGAGGCTATTCTAGATCTAAGATCTAGTAACTCCTACAAAAAAAATATCTAGTTAGCCACATAGGGCCATGGATAACCAAAGCTCTAAATACCAAATGTAACACAAGCTTATAGAGAACGCCCTTAAAATCACCAATGAGGACCCGGGCTTATAACAAATGCCCACAAAAGGGTCTACAATAGGCTTATAAAACGCCAACAAATAAAACACACACAAGGTAAACTAGCTCCTATGATAGCTTGGAGTCTTGAAGACTTAGTAGTTGAAGCTTGGAGAGTGATAGAGTAGCTTCACCAAAGGAAGTAGTTGGAGCTTAGAGCACTTGTGAGGGAAAAGTTTTGTACTTGGAGAGAAATCCCATTTCCATTTTGGTTTATTGGAAGTTGGGAGTTGAGAATGAGCATGGTTAGCTCAAACCCCTCCTAGACCTCCTTGGGGAGCTCCACTTCCTCCATGGCAACAAGGGCAAGGAGCTCCTGGGGGTGAGTTTGCTTATGTGGCACAATGGTTGGATTTGCAACAAATGAGAGCAATAGAATTGTGATAAGGATGCTTTTGTTACATGCTGTAATTTGTAACAACAATGTTCAATTGTAATTGGTTGGAATTCCAACCAATGTGGGGGTTGGGTTGGATCCCAACCATGCTTGTCTTTTAGTGGGTGGTTGTCCACAATTGTGGACCAATCACCATTCACCCCCTCCATCCCTTTCTTCCCGTAGGTCGCTACCTTACGTAGGTAGCGCCTTAGAGAGGTATCGTTAGATTAGGTGCTAGGGTAGGTAGGCGGTGCGTTACATCTAAAGCTCGTGACCGCCCCAGTTACTTTGACGAGTCGCGCGACTTTCCTCACTGCACATTCGCGCACTCCACTCCCCATGCAACCCTCCTCCCATTCCCCTCACCTCACCAAACCCCCTTCACATCCCCTTCCCCCCATCCCCTTCGCCCCACCCCCTTCGCCCCATCCCCTTCGCCCCATCCCCTTCGCCCTCTACCCACACCCTTCACACCCCCGCCCGTCACCACCCGCATCCCCCTTTGCAGACTCCAAGGTTCAACACACACGGCTCCCTGGCCCTTGCTCACTGCACACCCCACATCACGGCCTTCCTTGTCTTCTCCCCCCCTCCCCTCCCCTCCCCCCCGCACCCACCCTCCTCCACCCAACCCCCGCTCCCATCTCCCTCACTCCACCCAACCCCTCCTCCCATCTCACCCTTCCCCTCCCTGCCCGAATGCAGGCTCCACGTGGCTCTTCAACGCCGTCCGCCTGCTGCTCGCCCACTCGGGCCAGCTGGCGCTCTCCTATTGGCTGCACTCCGTCTCCGCCAGCAAGCTGCGCGCCAGGGGGCTCTCGCCACTCACAAGCCGCGGACCTGGGGGCGAGGGGAGGGGAGGGGGGGGGGGGGGGGGGGTCCGCAGAACTAGGGGGAAAAGGAGATGGGGAGGGGGTGAGGATGGATGGAGGGGAGTGGGGAGGAGTGAGAGTGGGGAGGAGTGAGCGTGGTGGTGAAGACACACGAGTGGGCGGAGGGGTGGGAGGTGGGCGAGTGGAGAGGGGTGGTGCTGCTGACTGAGAGGGACGTGTGTGGCGTCGCTCACTCCTACCTCCGTGTCGGCTGGTTACCGCACAGCATGCCGTGAGTCATACGGGGGTCACAGCATGCCGTGAGTCATACGGGGGTCACAGCATGCCGTGAGTCATACGGGGGTCACAGCATGCCGTGAGTCATACGGGGGTCACAGCATGCCGTGAGTCATACGGGGGTCACAGCATGCCGTGAGTCATACGGGGGTCACAGCATGCCGTGAGTCATACGGGGGTCACAGCATGCCGTGAGTCATACGGGGGTCACAGCATGGCGTCTGGCCATCCACCGTGCCGCGTCCTCAGTTCTGCGTCACGTGTGAGCCCTTGCACCACTCACTGCGCCCACCTTGCACGGATTTCCTCCTCACCACCTCCTCTCCTGCATCCCCCTGTCCCCCGCATCCCCCTGTCCCCCGCATCTCCTTCTCTCCGATGTCGTCCAAGCCCCTCCTGGCCACACCCACTATCCCTGTCCCAGCACACGTGCACTGCCGCACACATATCGATGCCGGTGGCCCCTCATCAGTGACTACCTTTGAGAAACAAATCTCACTCCTCTCTACCAACCCTGCTTCCTCTGCGCTCTTGTATGCAGGCGCATCAAGGCCCACATGCAAGCCTACCTGCGCGACCACCAGCGCTGGAAGCATCACGCTGCGGCCTTCATCCCCTTTGCCTCCATCATGCCGCCCACAGCCCCTCAGAGCTGCTTTATCTCTCCCGCCTCACTGCGCTCCTGGGCCTCGCCACCGTGGAAGGGGCGGCGGAAAGGGCAGCGGCTGAAGGGTTGCCGGAAGGGTCCGGGCTTGAGGCGAGTCTGAGCAGTGTGGGGAGAGGGCGGGGTGGTGGGAGGGCAGTGGACGTGCGTGGCGTATCAAGCGCCCTTGCTCAGCTGCCGGTTCCCACAGGTGCCACGATTTGACGTTCTTTTCTCTGCGACGTTCGCTGCGCCGCATACTGGCGATCCAGCAGGCCAGCTGAGACGTTAATGCATCAGCATAGCACATGCCGTCGGCCCCACTTTACAGTTGCACGTTCCTTCCTAGTCCCCTTTTTCCTGCATGCGTCGGCTGTTGCCTGCGCCTGACGAGCCTCATCAACTTCGGGATACCAGCCCGAAGTCGCCTTCGCCATCGCGACCTCGACGACGTTCGCGTGCCTCCGCAGAACTCGTCGAACAGGTTACCCGGTCGACCTGGTCGACCACCAAGTGCTCCGGTCGACCACCAGTGCTTCTGGTCGACCACTGGGTCCCTCTGGTCGACCAGAACTCCCGTCGAGCTACCCCCTGGTCGACGGACCCCTTCTGTCAACCAGAACTATCAACTGTTGTCGCCGAGCTCCCCTTGTCGACCGCTGCTCACTTGTCAGGTCGACGGACTGCTCCGTCGACCTACCGGTCGAACTGCCCCTCCTGGTCGACGGCCCACCCGTCGCCCAGACCAGTCAGTTGCAGCTGTCGAGCTCCCTGGTCGACAGCAACACCACAGCGGTCCCCTGCAGCTCGACCAAGCCTGTCGAGCAGCTCTCCCACTGTGAACGGTCGGCTGCTACTCCCGTACATCCGACCAAGTCGTCGGCGTTGTCCAAGCGAGGGCGGGGCCAACACTCCATTCCCATTAACAAGCGCGACGCTGTCGCACAGCTTGCCGTCCGAGCTCACCTACTGATCGACCAGCGGGCCCACTTTCACCAGGTGACGTTGTCCCAGAATTTTTACGATGCTGTGGTTAGACACTACTCCTCCCTCTCTCCTGCCACCCCGCCATTCTGGCAGTACCGTTCGTTGTTAGGGGAGGTGCAGCAGCTGGTCGAGGATGCGATTGTAGGTACCTGTGCGATTTCTCATCCAAGTGGTGCAGCTAGTGGAGGCGGAGGTTTTGGGGGTGGACAGATGCGGCAGCAATGTGAGTAGGAGAAAGTCCCTGGTGGTGTAGAGGCTGCTAGTGTAGGTGCCTATGAGCCTGCTGACACTGGTGCAGCTCCTGTGGAAGCTTTGCACACCTTCACGCTTGACTCCGGCGGGACTCGCTGCTTCTTCCGCGACTGCACCACGGTCACATCGCTCACTACACCTGTCCCGGTCACTCTGGCTGCCCCCTTTGGGGGTCCAGTCGTTGCACGTGCCCCCACTGTTCTCCCGTGTCCGGCAGCCCCTTAAGGCTCCCTCACAGGTTTCCACCTCCCCTCGTTCGCTAAGAACTTGGTGAGTACAGCTGTCCTTCAGGACCAGTTTGTCACTCTGACTACTCCTAGGGGTGAGCTTGTGGCAATCTGTACGAACTCACGGACTGGCGCCCACCTCGCTACGTTCACTCGGAGACCCGGGTCTGGCCTTTACACACTGACCACTGAGTCTGCACAGGTAGATGTGTTTGGTCAGGTAGCTGCGTCTTGCTCGTGTCGGTTACTCAGGCACGCGTCTCTCCTCTGGCACCACCATCTGGGTCACCCCTCCTTGCCGTGTCTTTGTAGCATGCACTCCCGTCTCCTTGTCTCTGGCCTCCCCATGTCCCTGACCCCGCTCCCGTGGTTGCCTGCACCGCCGTGCCTTCCCTGTGTCGGGGGGCGGCAGCGCGCTGCTCCTCACTCTTCCTCGTTTCCTCCGACCACTGCTCCTCTGCAGACTCTCCACATGGACGTGTGGGGCCCCACCCACATCAGTGGACTGGACCGAGAGCGCCACTTTCTGCTGATTGTTGACGACTACACTCGCTACACCACGGTCTTCCCCTTGCAGCGCAAGGCGGATGTTCGCAGTATCTTGATCCCTTGGATCCGCACTGTCCGTCGCCAGCTGAGCGCACGGTTCCAGCAGGACCCCCAGGTCCTGCGCCTGCACTCTGACCGAGGTGGTGAGTTTTCCTCTCGCCTCCTTGAGGACTTTTGTCATGCGGAGGGCATTGCCCAGTCATTCACGCTTCCAGCCTCTCCACAGCAGAATCGAATATCTGAGCGCCGCATTCGCTTGACCATGGAGGTTGCTCGCACCTCCATGATCCATGCAGCTGCTCCCCATTTTCTGTGGCCATTTGTGGTCCGAATACGCCGTGCATCAGCTCAACCTCTGGCCCACGCGTCTTCTCCTGTCCCCCCGCCACCCCTCTTCCTGGTTCCAGCCCACCCCCCCCGGTAGACGCTCTCCCCCCACAGAGTCCTGCTCCCTCAGGTGTGATCATGTTGACCCAACCCCCTTGGTTGAGCCATTGGAAGTCTCCTCTAACACCTCTAGCCCAGCTGAGGGGGGTGACCCTGTTGCTGACGACACTGGCCACTCGTCGCTTACCGCGCTTGGAGACCCCTCCTGGTTTTCCGCCTCGGCCATCTCTGCCGCCTCTCAGCCTGTCGCTGTAGACTCTGGTGCTGCTGGAGGTGGTGACCCTGGGGGTGTGCACTTTGGGGGTGCTGCGAGTCCTACTGGTGGCAGTGTCGTGGGTACCCCTACTGGAGACTCTGGGAGTGGACGTCACCCGCAGCCGCAGCTTCGGGAGTGGGCTGTCCGGTGGGGTAGCCCCGGTGGCGGAGCTTGGTGTGCTGGTGCTGGAGGTGCTGGTGCTGGAGGTGCTAGTGCTAGAGGTGCTGGTGCTCGAGGTGCTGGTGCTGGAGGTGCTGGTGCTGGAGGTGCTGGTGCTGGTGCTGGGGGTGCTGGTGCTGGAGGTGCTGGTGCTGGGGGTACTGGTGCTGGAGGTGCTGGTACTAGAGGCGTTGGTGTTGGAGGTGCTAGAGTTGGAGGTCTTGAAGGTGCTGGTGCTGGAGGTCCTGGTGCACGTCGCCAGGAGACTCTCTCGCCACAGCAGCTTCGCGAGTGGGCGTCACTCTGCAAGGGGAGGCCGGGAAGCGGGTCCTCATCCACGACGTGCTCTACGTTCCGGGCGTACAGGCGAACCTGCTGTCAGCTGGCCAACTGAAGGAGAGCGGAGTGCAGCTGCAGGGCGACGGCGACGAGATGTTGCTCGTCGCCGCGACCGGGGAAGTGCTCGGTCGAGCACGCTACGCCGGCCGAGTCCTCTGCACCGACCTTCGCCCCTGCTCGACGCGGTCGCCGTCGACCGAGGTGGTGGCTCTGTGGACGATCGTCTCGGCAACGAAGTCGACCCCCGACCGGCGGAACGCGAGGCTCACGCACGTCGGCGTCGACACGATCAAGACCTCGGCGAAGCATGACGTTGCTATTGGGCTCGACATCAAGCCGTATACCGGGGCGACCCGCCATGTGTCTCGTGCGTCGGAGGAAAGCTGGCGCGGCACACCTTCCCCGACAAAGGCTCGGACGCCGAGAAGGCACTGGCTGTCGTGCACAATTACTTGTGCGGGCCATTTCGAGTAGCTGCCAAGGATGGCAGCTTGTACTTCCTGCTGCTGAAGGATCGCCACACTCGGTTCGTGTGGGTGGTGCCGGTCGCTAAGAAGAGCGACGTGCTGCGGGAGTTCCAGAAGTGGTTGGTGCCGGTGGAACGGCAGACGAAGAAGTCGGTGCTGATGCTCCGCTCCGACCGGGGAGGGGAGTTCCTCCGGAAGGAGTTCACCAACTTCGTCGACGGAAAGGGCATCGTCCACGACCTAACGTGCCCTTACACTCCGCAGCAGAACGACATGGCTGAGCGGGAGATGCGCACGGCCGTCGAGTCCGTGAGGACGATGATGCTGCACATGAGCGTGCAGCACCACTGGTGGCACCTCGCTCTACGACAAGCTGTCTGGGTGCGCAACTGCTTGGAGTTGTCGACGACGCCGCCGGGGACGACGCCGTGCCAGCTGCTGACCGGGAAGAAGCCCAACCTCACGCTGGCGCGGGTGTGGGGCTGCATGGTGCAGTTCATGGTTCCCGAGCAGCAGCGCGGTGGGAAGCTGGCGCTGAAGGCTCGCTGGGGGCTTCACCTAGGCGTGTCGCCGGAGAGCAAGGGCTGGGAGGTGTTGGACTTGACCGACAACAAGGTGGTCACGTCGGTCGAGGTGATCTTCTACGAGACGCTGTCGCTGGAGGTGTGGAAGGCGGAGTACGGGCCGGCGTCGGAGCGGACGCAGGCACACCCGCCGACGGACACCTCGACGGCGACGTTCCCACTGCTCACCGAGGTCAATGAGCATGCTGATGAGGACGTCGAGGAAGTCCTCCCACCGCCCCCTCCTGTTGCTCCTCCCAACCCTGTCGCAGATCGGCCTGCGTCGACACCTGTGTCTGCCACCGGCGATGAGGGGAGCCTTGGGGCGTCGCCTGCGGCGCCGACCAGTGGCGTCGCCAGCGGCTGACGAGGCGTCAAGCTCGTCGACATGGACGTGAAGCCGTCGACGACAAGGGAGCAACAGACAGGGGAGCCGGTCGAACAGGAGGCAGTAGCAGGGGAGCAGCAGACGGGGCGGTCGACAGGGGAGTTGTCGAAGTTAGCAGGAGGTGAGCAGCAGGTCGAAGGGTCGAAGCAGCTCGTCGACGACGAGGGTGTCGACGACGAAGGGGAACAGTCGGCAGGAGAAAAGTCCACCGACAGCGACGTGGTGGAGGTTCCGATCGAGAAGCCAGAGCTGCGACGCTCAGGTCGAACTCGGAGGCCACCAAAATGGCTGAGATACCACGCCTGCCTGCCGTTGGCTGCCTTCACCACGGTGTACGACGACGCCGACAATGACCTGCTGTACGACGACTCCGAAGATG